AAAATCCGTATTCTGCATTTGTTGGTCAGCGCGGTCAGTGCTTGCCATTTGCGAGTGACATTTCAAATACATACCGCAGGGCTGCAATTCCGTGTACGGAGTACGGATATATTACACCGGGTACGCGGAGGGGAAGGAGCAATTGTCGACAGGTAAGAGCAGCAGGAAGGGGGGAGAGGGGGGCAGATTGGTTGTGGTAATCCCATTTTCCCAAATGTGACCGGGGAAAGTGGAATTACTTTTTAAGAAGAAACACTAATTCAACATTTATCAACAAGGCTTGAAAAATTTGAGGGTGTCTCACCAGTCAGCCAAAAATGTCACCACTCAGCATGACCGGACTATAGCCTTGCAATTTACGTTAACATTTTTTGGGGACACACAGAGCTTTCTTTTGGTGGTATATAATCACACTGAGGGGGGTTTATTTTTTACTATAGAATGAAAAAAGTACCGTGAATTTCGAAAAAAAAAAAGTTTTCCCTACGGTATGTTAAAAGACATTTATTCTCACCCATATTTTTGGTCAAATATAAAAGTCGGGGTCACTTCGGGTACATAGACACCAAACATGTCAAGCCTTAAAATTGCAAACAACAAACAAATCAAAAATTGGCCACAGACGACGCTTTTACCGCTCATCAGTTTAGTGTTATCAGTGATTAATGGCCCTGTGATATGTAACATGTGCGGCGCAATCGCACGTAGGCGCACCCAACGCATGTTTGCGTGTGTATGTGGGGCGCAGGGGGACTTTAAAAAATAAGTTGGTTTTTTTTGTATGCTTTTCATTTTTTTTATCACTCCCTTTTTTTTTTCCTTATTGCTATTCACATAGGGGGCTAAGAAGCTCCCTATGTGATAGCCAATTTACGTGACAGGTCCTCTTTATGAAGACATCAGGGGTCTCCAAGACCCCTAATGTCAACTACGGACCCCCAGAGAAGCTGATGAAGCAGAGATCTGCTTCAGCAGCTTCTCCCCAACTTCTGTAGCTGGGAATGACGCTGATGGCGGAAGTAATGTAATATACATCACTTCCTGCATTCGGGGACCGGAGAGGAGATCAGAGGGAGATCGTGTACCAATCTCCCTTTGATCTCCTGTCACAGAGCAGCCGTGGCGGTCCCGGCCACATCTCGGTGACGGCTGCGGGGGATGGGGGGAAAATCGCAGCTAATACAAGGTGATCGGGCGTCACTAGAATGTAAAGCTCCCGTCCGGCCGTTTTAATTACAACGGCTGGCCGGGAAGCTACTCGCCTGGCTCCGGCGTCCTCTCGTCACAGACACAGATATTTTTTTTTAATCAACTTTTAAAGTGAACCTGCGAGGATAGAAGTATAGGGGCTGTCATGGTTGAAATATACTATTGGCTTCACTGCCCAGTGAGTCTAATGGCCTGGAAGCCAGTGAGGTGATAAAACATGAACTCCCATCGTGTTATTCTCTTCCACATTCGAGCCATGACACGAGGATCAATGCCTTGGAGCTTGCACTGGCAGCACACGTAGCTCTGTCCTCACAATAGGAAAAGATGCAGCACTGAGATGAGAAATGATGCATGTGACTGATAGTTTTATTCTTTGCAGGTACCATGAAAGCGGCATGTGAACTCCTACAGCGGAAAAACGCCGAGATCCTGAGTTGCTTGGTGCTGATTGAGCTGACGTCATTGAAAGGGGCAGAGAAGCTACAACCACACTGCGTCCACTCCCTGCTTCAGTATGACTGACCACAAACTAAATGAGGTTCCTGGCGTTATGCTGACTTCATGGCTGGCTGCAAAAGTTCAGTGCCTTCTACAGATCAAAATGTACTTCTCGGTATACAATTGATGCCGGGAAATGTGCACTTTTTAAAATAGATGCATGCACTTTGCTTATGTGTGGCAAACGAACCACACGCACATTTACGCTCCAAGTCTGTCTGGTCATAGCTTGTTCAGGGTTAAAGTGACGCTAACCCTAGGAGTTAATTCTAAAAATACATTCAAGTACTTTATTAACAGAAATGTATCTTATTTGTATATCACTCGGCTGTAGATCCTCAAATCATCTCTGAATTGGTGCTGACACTGTCCTTCCTTCTGGAGGGGGGCTACTCTTGTTCCCCATGGTCCCTGTGTGTTGTAAAGTAGTCACCGCTCCAAGCTCATTCCCGGAGGAGAGTCGTATGCTTCCGTATAACTGACGGTGGAGTGTATATCACTTTGGCAAGCCAGTGGAGCGGTGAGGGAGTCGGTTCTAAATCTAAAGCTGGCTTTACTTCAGTAGAATTTTGTTTGGCAAAATAAATTTTCCAAACATTTGTTTGATTTTCTAATAGTTAAGGGGGTCAAATCTAATATCGTTTCCTTCCGTAGTCATGAAAAAAAAAAAAAAGCAGGATGGAAATTTTCTCTCAAGCAAACCAAATTCTAACAGTGAATGTGGTTTTTGTTCGGGGAAACTTCATTCATTTCCAAAATCCAGTGTTAAAACCAAACATTTCGGGGGGCGTGGCCTGGCTATGGCGGAGTAGAGACGCTGATCCTTTGAGCTCCGCTGCTACCCGGGCATCATCCAAATACCTCATCAGCCACTCGTTCTCGCCCGATGTCTAAGAGGTGCAAAGCTGCAGGGGAACCTCTCCGGTGACCTACACCCTTTCTTCGCCTCACCGTCTGTCTCTACACGGTCCGCAACAGCCAACCGCATGGCGCCGCCGGAACAACTGCGGCCTTCCACCGCGTCCGCAACCCGAGTCACAGCGGACCTCACTTCACTAGTCGGACCGGCAGATCGTGACTGTGCCCCGGACACTTCCATCAGACCAACGCCGGGCACTGCCGCAGGTCATGTGCCGGCAGGACAAGCCGCCCACATGCCTCAGCCAGAGACCGGGACGCCTCTCTCGGCAGGTGAGATGTCGGCCATACTCCTCTCCCTACCCACTAAGAGGGACATGGCTGTGCTGGTCTCCAATATGGAAGCCGCATTGCGACAGGACATTGCGGGAATCACAGCCTCGGTTTCCCAATTAGAGGACAGGGTCACCTCGCTTCACAATAACCATGATGCTACAAACCAACGCCTGGCAGCCCTGGAAGCCAAGGTCATGCATCAAGAAGCCAGACTTACCTCTATGTCGCTTTCCCACGATGATCTAGAAAACCGTTCCCGCCGCAATAACATCAAACTGCGCGGCCTACCCGAAACCACGGTTGCGGCAGACCTCAGGGCGGTGGTGTCCCACATCCTTAATGCCACGATGGATAAACCACCTGACACCCCCCTGGAACTTGACCGGGTCCATCGAGTGGGAGGACCACGACCGGATAGAGACACCCGTCCCAGAGACGTCCTCTGCCGCGTACACCACTACACGATCAAGGAACATATCCTGCATCAAGCTTGGCGCAAAGGACCGACTCCCTTTGAAGGCACAGATATCACCCTCCTGCCTGATCTGTCCAGACGCACCTTGCAGATGCGTCGCATACTACAACCACTGCTTACTGTGATCCGGGAGCCGGAGCGCTATACTCATGGGGTTACCCATTCTGCTTGAGCGTCCGCAAGAATGGGGAGTCGTTTATACTCCGCAACCCGGACCAACTCCCAGCCCTGTTCTCTTTCCTGGAGACCGCCTTGGTGGACATTCCTAACTGGCTCCAACCTGACCTGCCCGAGATGCCTCGCTCCATGCCTCAACGCAGCCGACGTCGGGAACCCTCAGGCACGAGACCGCGACCACGGATTCCGACGCCCCTGGGTACAGACGTGGAGCCCCGTGCTGACGGATGGGACACTACATCCAGAGAACTGTGAGTGCCTCTCACTGCGGCTGACCGCTCGTCGCTGCTCTCCTGATGACCATGTTTCCCAACTACCTGCATTCATCTCGACTCCGCATTGGACCCGTGTACATGCCTGGAGTGCAGTGCCCCTCCGATATGAACTCATTGACTGACCTTCATGCAGCCCCGGGTGATGTATCCACACGAACTACCACACATCGAAAGTCTCACTAGTTTTACCCGAGTGTTGCACCGCGTCTGCCTCCCGTACGGGGGGGGGACCGACGGCTTGGACCTTAGTCTGGGCGGTTCGATCCCCTCCCGTCGGGATGTGGACGGGGAGGGCCCTGGACGACCTAAGCCGCCAGCATAGCACTGGGCCCGCGTCGTTGTTTCCATATCACCTTGCTGATGCCACTGATGTTATGGTTTTCTTGTTATACCCTGCATCCCCTGGAGCTGCTGGAGGCGGCGCCTGGGGATGTTCGTGGGGGCACTCCAGGACTGCCTGCGCGGCTCGACCTGTAGGAGGCGAGTGGTGTAGGGGTACTGAATCATTGTCGGCTGCGGAGGGGGCGGGGTGACCCGGGTATCCCTGGGGACTCCCTCCCGCGCCTGCATACGAAAGGGACTGACCGCAGACACGAATTCGCTCTAGGATATGTGTTATTGCAACCTCTTATACAGTTTGAATTGTGGTTACTTTTTTTTGTTTTAGTTTAATCCTGATGCGGCGGCTCATTGTTATGTTTGAAATTGTTCTAACCTATAACGTTATTGTCTTCTCCTGCACTGCCATAGACTACCTACTACCCCCCAGTAGGTTTGTGACCACCACTAGCTCCAGCCTTGCTTGGAATAGACGGTGATCCGTTTGGCTGGTTGTCCAGCCCCATGTAGATTTTGATCCTCCTTATACGACCCTTCCCCCAAAGATACAACTCCTACTTACCTCCCTCCTATCCCCTCCCCGCTAGGGTACCTCCTCCCCCCTACCCACCCGCTACACAAGTTACTATTGTATCCCCTCACCTAGCCCCCACCCGCTCTTCCCCGCCTCCCCTACAACCGGAACATGGCAACCCTCAAAATCCTCTCCTCCAATGTAAAGGGCCTAAACGTCCCTGAAAAAAGGAGAATGATCCTAGATGAACTTCACCACCAGAGGGCAGACGTTGCATTCCTTCAGGAGACGCACTTCCAACTGGATCACATCCCCTGTATTGGCACTGCGCAAACAACACGCTCGGACGTATGTTCCCTCGGTCACTTCGCCCAAGGGTACCAAACTCTCCCTACCGGCGGAAATAGCGGAGGCCTTTGCGGACTACTACAGAGACCTTTACAATTTAACGGAACCCGCAATGCCGCAGGACATCCAGATCCCCCAGGCCCGCATTGCCCAATATATCCAGAACTCGGGCATTCCGAAGCTTGACCCAGAGGTTACCTCACTGCTGGAAACCCCGATCTCAGCGACAGAGCTGGAGTCCGCAATCAAACTCACCCAGACTGGCAAAGCCCCTGGCCCAGACGGCTACTCCTTAACGTACTACAAGCGCTTCCTACCACTACTTACCTCTCCTTTCTTAAACGCACTTAACTCCATTCTTGACGCCCACACCCCACCGCCCGACTCCCTTAGGGCCTACATCACGGTCATACCCAAAGGATCCCGCCCTCTGCCTCTGACCCCCAGTCCTCCTACCCTCCTACCTTAAACGACCCTCACAGGCAGATAGCTCACATGGCACACCCGCCTTCCTACGGTAACCCTGTCCATTAGTGTAGTAAAACCTCACCATGCTTTATCAACGATCGTGGGATACCGTTTCACCGAAACCTGGGTTCTCAGCTACCGTGACCCTAACTACTAATACCCTGGCGGGGGGCGCCCCAGGGGTCCTTCACCGCGAGAGAACCCGGGTGCCCTCTACCCCAGTCCTTAATGCTCAGGGTTACTACCTACCTGATGAAACCACTTTATATGTTGTGATGTTATGTTTGTTGGCATACTTGTTGCTATTTTGTACATGGCTCATTCTTTTATTCATGGGCACTATACTACACTCTGTATTGTACAAATTGTATAAAACTGTGAAAAAATCCAAATAAAGAATTTATAAAAAAAAAAAAACATTTCAAGTGACATTTGTCATGTCTCTGATGGCATTATCGAATGTTCTGACAGTATTTTTTTGTATGACTGTTCGAACCACAATCTACCAGTGTATGGCCAGCTTTATGCCTCATTCACATGGAGCGTGTTGCCCCATACAGTGTGAAGGGATGCATTTTCATGCGTTGGGAAGAAGCGTGCGGGCAGTTTATTTAAAGGAGAACTACGGGGTCAGGGCTATTCCCCATAGTTCTCCTAAGGGTAACGGGAGGACACAAACTAGCGTCCTTCTGTCACCCAGAGCTCAGTATACCGCGAGCTACAGTATACTGAGACTCCGCAGCCGGATCGGATCCCGACAATTATGTCTGGATCCGCCCAGCTGCGTGAGTGACAGCTGGCTCTGCCTATCTAGAGGCAGAGCCAGCTGTACCCGCCCCCTCCCCGGTCCGTTCCGCCAGTCAGCGCTGGAGGATCAGATAGGGGAGGGGGGAAACCAGTCCCTCCCCTGTCACGGCTCTCTGCCGGCACAGGATCGAGAAGTGAGTGAGCGCCGGTATGTGTTCGCTCACTTCCCGATCTACTGAGCCGACCTGCGACAGTCTCATTGTCACAGGTCGGCTCAGATAATGAGGCTGAGTGAAAATCACTCGCCTCGTAATTCTCTAAGTCTATATTGTCCTTTAAGTCTATAAAGACGCAGGAGCTGTGCACCCTCACCAGCTAGACGCCAATGGTGCATGGACCTGGATCCATCATATATGTGTCAGAGGCTGTACACGGTCTGTGTGCTGCTGTCAAAAATAATATAAGAGTAAAAGATCCCGTGGAGGGTCAACACATTTTGTGAACTGTTTAAAGTGGCCACTTCAGCCCATCCTTTATTGTCCTCCCAGAGTGGACGGTATATTGGAGGAAAGGGTGCACAGAATGAGGGATTCAACACGCCGCATTGTGAATGGAACGCTTTGCTTGAGGACCTGTGTGGTCTCAGCCTTACAATGCGCACTGGGCAGATAGACAGTTCACCTTTTGTTCTCTGATACTTGAAATTTTTATTTTGTCCAATGATTATTATTTTAAGGCTGAAAATAATAAAACGGTGATTTTTCTATATTCATGTGTGTTCAGGTCTCTTTAAAAGTGGATCTATAATTGGAAATCCATAGGGACCATTTCAGATCTAATAGTTGGTTAGCAAGTGAGTCAACTCGGGAGACTCCCACCTTGGACTGCAAGATTACTCTGTGTGTCCCGGCGGCTAACTCTCGGTCAGTTGTTGGCTGCACATAGTTTATAGTGTGGAGGTAGGAGACTGTCAAGACTTTGCTACCCCAATAAGCCCCAAGAGACTAACGTATAAACATTCTGCTGGGTGTATAGCTGGATTAATGCTGTTCGCGCGACATTACCATCAATGAATGGAGCTGAGTAGCATAGGAATTTACTTTGCTCATTGGCTCTATCTAGTGGCAGGAATGCCATACGAATGGCTTCTGCCCAGGTATATCTGCTGCCATTGTTGTACTTGTATCTGCTCTCTGATTAATAACATATGGCTTAGCAAAGTGTGGGACCTTACCTGTGGTGGCTCACAGAATTGGCTGGAGAATATGCCGCAAACATAGAGTACTCCAGTCTATAACATCTTCATGCTACAGCCTGCCATGAATAGAAAGTATGTCGGAGAAAAGACTCTGAGGTAAACCTGAGCTGGTAGACGGACATTGATGTTGGTGTTGTTAGCACTCCTTTGCCTTCATGTTGGTCTTTTGGTTTTACCATTTTACCTGGACCGGGCATTTATTGTAGGGTACCTGACCCCCATACTTGCTCCGTTTAAGTAAATCACTCAGTGGTTATCTCGAAGAACAAACATGGCAATCCGGGATCAGCAGATTCTAAAAAGAAAAACTCGGCAATACATTTCCCATCTTTCTACTGAAGTCTACAGGTTGAAGTAAGCCAGCCGAGTGTTTGTGGGCTCCAATGGTCATCTAAGGCCTGGTTCACACCTGTACGTTTTGTAGCGCGTTCAACGCTCTACAAAACGCTCAAACATGAAAATCCCATTGTTTTCTATGGGTATGGTTCACACCTTGCCGTATTTCAGCCCGTCTGAACGCGCTACAAAACGGCCTACGCCTGAAAAGGTACATGAGCTTCTTTGCTGCGTTTTTGTCACGCGTTTCCATTGGGATACAGCCAAATAGCCCTCGGAAACACTGTCGCGCGATTTTTTACCGCGACTCGCGGTAAAAACGCGCGCGCCAAACGTGCATATTCGATACGCCTAGGTGTGAACAGAGCCTTACTCGGTAAGCTTCTTCTGACATCCCAAGTCACCCGGGATAGAGACCTCTACACCGTGCAGCAACTCTTTAGATGCCAGGTATAAGTGTAGCAGGGAAAGGAGTCTATTCCCTGCATATTGCACGTCTCCCACATTAGAGGGGATGAAATGTTTTGCACTAATCCAGCAGCCCTTTAGTGCAGGGGGATCAAAGTATCGCAAACCGGTACTGTGTGGCCCGCAGCTGGCTGTCAAGTCAGGAACGCAGTAATGGGGCGCATACCTGACTTGGGGGAACAGCTACACCATCTCTTCGCATTGCCGACATTCAGCTCCCTTCGGATGGTGATCTGACATCCTTCACTGAGCGCCGGCCAAAAGTGGATTAGTACGGTCTGCACTCTGCACCAGCCAATGGTACAGACAGTACTAATCCACCACCGAACCACCAGGAAATGTGCCTCCTCCATGCAACAAAATGGAAGCAGGTGAGGGGGGCTCTTTCTTTTATTTCATGTGGGGGGTGTTTATTAGTGTGTGTGTATTATGTCCCATTCACACCTGTACCTGAGACACAGGAGGTCATCCGGAGCACTGACACTCGGGAGACACAGAGAGCAGTCCATCCGGAGCACTGACACTCAGGAGACACAGAGAGCAGGTCATCTGGAGCACTGACACTCAGGAGACACAGAGAGCAGGTCATCTGGAGCACTGACAATCAGGAGACACAGAGATGTGTGTATATGCATGTAGGATGTGTATGTAGGATGCATGTGTGTGTGTGTAGGATGCATGTTTGTGTGTAGGATGCATGTTTCTGTGTGTAGGATGCATGTTTCTGAGTGTAGGATGTGTATGTAGAATGTGTGTATGTGTAGGATGCATGTTTCTGTGTGTAGGATGTGTATGTAGAATGTGTGTCTGCAGGATGCATGTTTCTGTGTGTATGTATGTGTGTAGGATGCATGTTTCTGTGTGTATGTATGTCTGTAGGATGCATGTTCCTGTGTAGGTGAGCTTCTTTGCTGCGTTTTTGTCACATGTAGAATGTGTGTCTGCAGGATGCATGTTTCTGTGTGTATGTATGTGTGTAGGATGCATGTTTCTGTGTGTATGTATGTCTGTAGGATGCATGTTTCTGTGTGTAGGATGTGTGTGTAACATGCATGTTTCTGTGTGTAGGATGTGTGTGTAGGATGCATGATTCTGTGTGGCTATAGAATGCATGTTTCTGTGTGTAGGATGCATGTTTCTGTGTGTCTATAGAATGTATGTTTCTGTGTGTAGGATGCATGTTTCTGTGTGTCTATAGAATGTATGTTTCTGTGTGTAGGATGCATGTTTCTGTGTGTCTATAGAATGTATGTTTCTGTGTGTAGGATGCATGATTCTGTGTGTAGGTGTGTGTAGGATGCGTGTGCTGTGTTTGTGTGTCAGATGTACTGACAACATGGAAGACAGAAGTGCAGCTCCTATTACTACTTCCTCATAGTTCCGCACAGATATGCAAATATATATTTCCTAATGTTTCATAGGGCACGGGGGGGGCACACAAGCGCCGGAGTTCATGGCAGTCCAAGTCCGATATTGTCATCGCTCACATACATTGCATGTAGTGGTGCTGGAGACGACAGACATGAGCTGAGCCGGGCCCTCCATGACCGACAGGGGCCCGTGTGATCTCATGGGTGGTGAGGGGAAGGAACACATTTACATGCACACGCTGGTAGCGTGGATGACGTGCACGCTCATGACCTGAGCTGTGGGCGTGCATTTCAGGGGGGAGGGGGTGTCACTTCATATCATTGCTTCCCTACTCCTAGAATCTATGTGGATCTCGGTGTGTTTTTCTCCCGGCTGAAGGTGACAGATGAGAGCAGACAAAGGTAAATATTGCCTCTTGCGTGTATAATATTGCATTTCCTGGCGCTCGTGCTTTCATTTCTGTCCAGGTTTGTTTCCACGTATGTGCATTCTATCACCAGCCGTCTTTAGATCGTATACTCCTGTTATCTTCCTCCGATGACCTTCCAGAACTTCAGATACTCCGCACAGGATGTCACTGCTCTGGAATTGTCTTGTGTTGACATATCATTGGTTACAGGCCTAACAATCTGCTGTGTCCATTGTCTTTCCCCAGGATGAGTGTGGACTCCCTGCTGGCTCAGTACCGGAGCTGGCTGCTCAGTATCTCACCTCAGGGCGATAGAGCTTCATGTACAAACGCCAAGCTGATTGACAAGGTGAGGGGAAGTATCCTGGAAGAGCCCGACCTGCACCATGCTTTCCACAATGATGTCTTCTCCTTGGTCGCCAGTGGCCTCCAGGACCAGTCAGATCTACTCTCCACCCTGAATCGTATGGCCGATGCCTTCCAGACTCTGGAGCTGGCTGCCCTTCATCTTTATTTTACTCCTTGGAGAAAAGAGTTTCACACTATTAAGGTGAGTGAGATCCCCAAAGGACTATTCAGATCAGCGTTCCTGACTGGGGCCTCCGGGTCACCATACACGATACAATGTGACTGTACACAGTGGCATCCCGAGGCCGGGTGTCACCCGGAGCGGTTACCGGGTGACACCCCGCCGTGACGTCACCGCGCACGAAGGCATCATCGCACATGCGCGGCGAGCTTATTGATACGTACCGGCGGCCATCTTGGTGATGGATGCCGGCAGAGAAAGGAGGAGACAGTCACCCGGCGGGATAAGGTATGATGCCGGCTCCCCTACTCTCTCCCGAAACTGTTGGGCGCTCGGCCCATGACTGAGTGCCTGACACCAAAATGACTCTGAGTCATTTTGGTGTCACCCGGGTGTGGGCTGCACCCCCCTTGTGACGCCACTGACTGTACAATCATTGTACTGTCAACTCTAGAGTTACCAAAACGATGTAATATGAGGACCTACCTAACCTGCTCAATCGAGTTGTATTCAATCATGCCGGTGCTTACACTACGTAGTGGTTGGTAGTTCTAAAAGACATTGTACAATCACTTTGTAATGTGTGTGCGCGCGTGGTAAGATAAAGGGGCTTCTGGAAAGATCCATTTAAACAGCAACTTTCTGAGCCACCATTGTACACATGGGACAGCTTTTTAAAGGACCGGTCCACCACCAGGTCTTTGTCTTTTCCCTCCCCGAGCCTGTGACTGGACAGTGAAGGAGAAGCAGCAGAATGATGAGCTCATTTCTGTGTCACTCTGCTTTCCTCCTATCAGCATGTCCCTAATTAGTACATGAGAGCTGCAGCTCAACCAACTTTCTCCTTGTGCTGCTATTCCCTCTCTCAGTCTGAGTCTGCTGTACAGGAGATAGCAAGAGGCTGATATCAGGTCAAACGAGAGGTACTTACACTGTTTAACGTTTAGAAAAAATGAATTGAATTTATGAATACAGATCTACATGAATGTGTGTTTTTCTATCTGCCTGGAGTTCAGCCTTCATTTACAATCTAACCTGTACCTGATTTGTTCTTGTTCAGTATATTAAAGACGATCAGCTTCAGGCATTTTTTAGTGCAGGCTCTGACAAAATATTAAACAGCAGCCCCAGGTAATGTAACATGTTATATCTGAACTCCGACCTTCCCTTCAGTCTTGCACAGTTGTAGCGGCTCCTCTCCTGGACTGGAATGGCTTCCTCTGATATCACTGCACACTGCGAGCTTCTCACCATGTGCAATAGAAGCTGCAGCAAGTCAGATAGAGCCCGCCTCATTCCCTGGCTGGAGGACGTCCAGCATTGTCTAGCGCTTTCCTCCCCAGCCTCACTGTCCCTGACCCGCCACTTTAATTGGATTTTAGTTCTTTCCATCCTGGAGGCTCAGCGTCACATATAGACATTACCTAGGGGACACCCACTCCTCCAGACTGACACCCAGCCATAAAGGCATTTTAATATTTGCATAACTCCTCCCAAGAGCCAACCTACTGGGCGGTCCTGTATTGGGGATCACTTGGGGAACTTGTTTGATTAAAGGAGCAGATGCAACATTTGAAAATCGTTGCATCCAATCAGCTGCAGTCAGTGTTTGGGTATTCTGACAGCAGTGGGCACCGGCTATCAGGGTACAATAGCCAGCAGGGAAAATTCCTCCATCCGCACTCTTTAGCCTGAATGGGGGAATCGACTGATTTTCTTTTTTGTTCAGCCACACAGGAAACATATTAAAGTGTATGGCCAATTCTAGTTCATATCCGATTATTAATAGCGAGGTGGGTGAGGGCAGGAGATGACTGCAGGGTAAACCACTGGCAGGAGTGTGCATTTCAAGTGTATGTAGAGCCAAAAGTATTTTTCTTAATTTTGGACAGACTAGAGCAGGATTAGATCTTATCAGTGGCGTCACAATGGGGTGTGGGGGGTGCGGCCCGCACCCGGGTGCCACCATTGGAGGGGTGGCAGTCATTTTGGTGTCACCCCCTATGAAAAGTCGGGCACTCGGTCATGGACCGACAGCCCAGCAGTTTTAGGAGAGAGGAGGGGACCCGGCGGCATACCTCATCCCGCCGAGTGAACATCCCCTCCTCTCTCTGCCGGTATCCATCACCAAGATGGCATGCGTTAATAAGATGACCGCGCATGCGCAATTACGTCATCGCACACACGCGTTGACTTTACGGCGGACTGTCACCCCTTCTACGCTCTGGGTGACACCCGGCTTGGGGCTCCATGCCAAGTTTTAATTGTTGTCTGTGTCTCCGCTGGGGAGATTTATCCCTCTATTTGTCCTGGTGACACCATTACCGAGCCAGAAGCGTTAGGAAATCCAACATTTTTGAGTTGTCATGAATGCCGGAGATGAGGGAAATCTTCTGATGGGGACAAATCTTCCAATCAAGGCTGTCCATACACCGCTCCCCGCAGGGATAGGTGAGTGACAGTCACGGCTCTCTGCAGGGACAGGATAGAGAGGTGAGCGAACGCCGGTATGTGTTCGCTCGCTTCCCGATCTATTGAGCCGACCTGTGACAGTTTCATTGTCACACGTCGGCTAGAACTATGAGGCTGAGTGATTTTCGCCTCGCCTCATTCCCCTCACTTTGGGGAGCACTCCTCTCCATACCTGTTACGGCTCTAGGACAGGAAGTGAAGGGAAATCCCCGATGCAGGACACAGGCAGCAAAGAATAATCAGATACTAAAAAATAGCTTTACATCCATGTAAGTGATCCATATGCCAGCAGAACATTAAACCTGCTTTGTCTCCCTACAGACCTACTCTGGCCATTACGTACACATATTGGAGCCGGCGCTCTCTCAAGATGGAATTTTTCTGGCTCTCGGCAAATTAGGGTACGAGCCGCAGGAAGGTGGGACTTGCCTGTGTCTGCAGGTCCTGCCTTCAGAACACGCGCTGAGTATGGCGGCCCTGGGCTTCCTGGCTGCTCAGTTGGAGTGTCGCATACTGACTGACATCGTCCAATGCTCGGGACCTGCGTCGGTGAACGGAGCCGATCTCATCCAGGAGAGGAAGACCTGGAGAGGAGAAGCTGCATGTATGGAGAGACTACAGAAGCTGATCCAGGAAGCCGACCAAGTTCCCAAGTCTCCTCCCACCCTGGAAGCTTGCAAAAGCGGCGCCTTTAATGGAGACAGCGAGTTATACAGGCCCAAGTTCTGTGACCTTTGCCACGAAACCTGGGATCAGCACCGGAACGGGAAATGTAGGGAAAGAACCGAGACACAGGATCTTCTCCCACGTGGAGAGGACGCCAGTCACGGGTTACGGAAACAGGTTGAATTTGACATGCATGACTGCGTGTACGCGGATAATTCGTTGGAGCAGTGTTGTGCCGAGTGTCGCCTTTTCCACAGCTCGTCCTGTCCAGTGCTGCCAAAGTGCAAGAATTTGGGGCACCCGGTCACCCAGCTGACTCCGCTGAAGAAGCGGGAAGCCGTGATGGAGGAAGAGGGCAAGAAATACCAGTTGCACATCTGCTTACAGCCTGGGCAGTTGCCGCATTACCGCTGCTCTGAGTGCAGGGAACTTCATTACATAAACTGCAAGGGGCTGGAGCAGTGCCGCAGCAAGAAGCACAGCGCCAAAATGATCATGCTGGAGAAAGACCAGCAGCTATGGTTACGGCGGAGCTTAATGGACCTGACCCAGCTGTGTATAGACAGAGCTGTGGATAGGGGCAGTGAAGTGTAACCCTCTAAGTCAGGGGTAGGCAACCTTGGCACTCCAGCTGGGGTAAAACTCCAAATCCCATCAGATCTCTGCCTCTAGGAGTCATGCCTGCGGCTGTCAGAGTCCTGCAGTGCCACATGGGACTTAGAAGTTCCACAACAGCTGGAGCGCCAGAGTTGCTTACCCCCTGCTCATTCTGTTCTCATTCATATGCAAACATTTGATTCTGTTTTTTGTCGCATGAGGGAACATATCGGGACAGATAAATGGGAACTGCCGCCGTTCTCTATGCAGTGCAGCTTCATCTCAAGAACCCATTGAAAGCCAAGGAGCAACCTGAGAGCTTCTTTCTTACCCGTGGGTGACAGCAGACTGTCAGGAATCTAGATGGGAGTAATCTGCACCTAGAACAGAGGGGATTACCGTCTTCTTGCCGAAAGCGACGACTCCATTTAATAGTGCCACTAGCCCTCATTCACACGAGCCTTCTGTGTTTAGGGGATGGAGAAATGCCTTGGGGAACAAATATACTTTATACTTCCCAGATCATGTTCCTGCATTTGAATGTACTCGGCCTTTACTTGTGTTTAGACTCATTCAGAGTATCTGGTACAGTTGCTGCCATTTTTCAGGAGGAATACAAGACAACATGATGTTTACAGTACTCATAAAGCATAATGAACTTTTCCGCCACAAAAGGGTGAAGAGTTTGGAGAAGGCCGGAGAAGAGAACAATGTAGGACAACATAGCTGGACTGGGAAGTGAGCTGAATTGGAGAATGTTTCCCAACCAGTTATGTTGTCCTAGATTGTTCCCTTCTACTCCCTCCTCCAAACCCTTCACCCTTTAGTGAATAGCCCTGTAGATGCAAAAAGTTTCCCAACACACTCACCAGCCAGCATGCAAAAAAACTTCTCACCACTAAGGTTAAAAAACAGAGGTTTGGATACACGTCTTCTGCAGAAAATGTGAAAGGCGCACAGCCGCGCCAAGGCACCTCTATATAGTGAAGTCCTAACTCTAAACTATGAGAGTCTCCATCTTGGAGCACATGGGGCAAAAGATAAAATTGGGTGCAGGTTTGTCAGGAGGACGCCTAACCTCCCTTTGTGCGTCCCTGTGCCTTTAAGGGAGGTTGGGCTTCCTCCTGACAAACCTGCACCCAATTTTATCTTTTGCCCCATGTGCTCCAAGATGGAGACTCTCATAATTTAGAGTTAGGATCGCACTATATAGAGGTGCCTTGGCGCGGCTGTGCGGCTTTCACATTTTCTGCAGAAGACGTCTATCGAAACATCTGCTTTTAACCTTAGTGGTGAGACAAGTTTTTTTGCATGCTGGCTGGTGAGTGTGTTGGGAAACTTTTTGCTGTTACTGTTTAAAGCCCTTCCATGTGCTCCTTGCTGTAAAGCTGGTAACAAATCCATGAGTGCGTTTGCCATTTGTTTGGCTAGCCCTGTAGATGTTCTCTATAATATGGCAAATCTTGACTCTTGAGTTCAGGTCCACTTTATGCTAAGGTCAGATGATCGGTCTTCTGTCGAAATGGCCAACTCATTGAGATCTCCAACCCATTACGTCACGTCTGGTGATTTGCCAGTAGATTTAGAATATGCGTGTGCGCCAGCCGCGGCTGTGTTGGAATCCTCGAGTACTCCAAATCCCGTCAGTGCGCCTGCACGGCTTTACAATCCTTGCCTACCTTTCCAACCCGTCAGTGCGCCACCCAAGAGCAGTATGAAGTTCTCCAATTGGCATTACTGCGCCTGCGTACCCATCCGATTGCAGGTGCACTGACGGGTTTTGGAGAACTCAACGAGGATTCTGACCACGTTGGCTGGCACACGCGCACCAGCAACATCTCGTCAAAATCCACTGGCAAGTCACCGGACGTAACGAGTTGGAGGTGTGGACGAGTTGGCCATTTTGACAGAACACCGGCTCTTGCTCTGCTTTTGCACTATGCATTTTCAGTAGCATATTGCTATCTGGCGCTCTCTTTTTCTCTTGGTACAGGTTTTCTCAAATACATGCGACACAATAAGAGCTTTACATGACCGGCTCACACAGCTTTTTTTTTGAGTACGTGTTTTTTCATGTTATTAAATATTTGTGTGGAATTAATACATGCAGCGCCTTATTCTCAGGATTCTATACAAATGGCATGTTGGGTGACATGGGAGTAAATGGTTTAAAGCTCGGCCTCATACATACTATCTATTGTATTTTGTAAAGCTCAGATTATTTGCTCCACTTCCGTGGGATGTGATGTAAGCATGCTTTTCCTGCTTTGGTATTTCATGTCAGGGGTAGGCGACCTCGGCACCCCCACTATTGTGCAACTGCAAGTCTCGTGATGCTCTGCAAGTCTCTGACAGCTACAACTCCCATAATGGGATTTGTAGTTTAATCATAGCTTATTTTATACTGGGAGACGCAGCCAGCTCCAGTGGAACAATCTTTGAGTGTGGAAGGTTGCACAATAGGAAATTGCAACACTACAATAGCAATACTATTACCAGCGTGTGTTAGCTTTAGTTTACAGGTTAACTAGGTAACTTAAAGCTAAATACACAGTAGCAGTGCATGAGGTACCTGTTCTACCGGCCAAAGGGTTTAGAGCAGAATAGCCGAGCTGAATGCCGCTCGGTGGCTTTCGGCTAGTCACACTCTGCTGTTCGGCCCCTATATGAATGGCAGCGAGTGAGCTGCCGGAGCTTCGGCTCAGCCGATCCAGATGTTGGATCGGCTGTGTCGAAGTCCTTCTGCACTTCGGCTCAGCCGAACATGCAGCCGATGTACGGCTGAAATCGGTTGTACAAGTCTGAAGTGAATAGCCGAACAGCGTTTAGCTCACTTCACTTCGGGTTATTCACTCGGCAGCTTTGTGAATAACCCTCTTAGTGTTTTGTTGCTCAAAAGTAAGCGTGACAAAAGCACTCAAGACAAGGAATCCCATTCATTTCTATGGCCCCTGGTCACACCCGAGTGTATTGTCGCAAGCAGAAAAACTCCTGTCGCTGGAAAAAGTCCATGAATTTCTTTTTGGCAGATTACAGCCCTATTGGGTCCCATAGACTTCGATAAGAAAAGCCTGGAAACGTGCGTTTCATCGCACAAAATGTCCTACTTAAGTCTACGGGACCTAAAAGAGCTGTAATCTGGCAAGCGGTACCTCATGTACTTTTTCCAGTGACGGGCATTTTTCTGCTTGCGACAAAACACTCAGGTGTGACCAGAGGCCATAGAAATTAATGAGATTCCTTGTCTTTAGCATTTTGTTGCGTGACAGGACTAAGGGCCTGTGCGTTTTCCCACACCATTGAAATCAATCTAAACAAATAAAGCAGAAGGAACGCACATTGAAATGCACTTTATATTACATGTGCGGCAACACCAGCGATGCATTGATGTCCATCAGGAGGTCGGGTTGCATTCATACACATTTTCATTCACTTATATGGAAAGCACATCCAGGAACAATGCAAAGGTGTAAAGACAGCCTCAAGCTTTTTTTTTTGTGGTAGCTAGAGAAAGGTAAATGGTAAAAACAAACAAACCCCTCTGCCAGTAGATTTTTTTGGTGGTCTTTGTACCATTGGGGAAATTCCCCTTCACATTCTTTCCCAAAGACACAACAGGAAGTTGCATGCAAGTTACCTGTTGAACTTCCAGTTCTGCATTTCCTCACCCATTCTGAATGTTGCTATACAGGGGATTGCATAAGTCAGATACCAAGATTAATTCCAGTACTTACACTAGTTCGATGTAACAATGAATGAATGCAGAGCGGCATCAATTTGTGTATTTTATACCTGTCTGGAGGTCAGTCAGGGGAATTCTGTATATTCACATTCCTGGGAGAGGAGAGCTTTTCTGCTCACTGTTGTATGGATTCTTCTTCTCCTCAGTGATTAAAGCTGGGCATAGGCAGCTTGAGTGTCAGCTGATAAATGGTAGACTGGCTGCAATTCTAGTCCCGTGGGTGGCCCTACAAAAGACAATTTAAAAATCTACTAATCTGCATGGAAGGTGCCACTTGCAGAGTACATTAGCCAGCAGTGAAGATTCCTCCATCCACACAGTGCAGATGTCAAGTGATTTCCTCTCTCTCTCGTGGGCTGAATGGCTGAAATTCAAGTCACCTACACCCAGGCTAAAGTAGGCCAGACATACATACAATTCGCACACGGTGCCGCTGTCAGCACCCTTTTGTCCGGCATCCCTTGATCAGCTCATCAAAAGAGCCGCCTGGAAAAGTCTTGGCCAAACGGAGCTTACAGCCAAATCAGCTGCAGGGTCCATTCGGACAGCCAATAGAAACAGCAGGGGATTCCTCGATCAACACTCATAAGCGTGATGGGAGGAATCTGTTATATTTTCTTTGTTCAGCCCGCAGAAAATACATAACGCTTGTTAGAATGGTGACCTTGGAGCAAAGGGAAGTGAATGTGGTTTCCAACATCCAGGATTACAATACACCTTAACTACTGCAGATCCCCGTGACTCCTTTAGCAAGTCATAACCTGCCATACCTTATGTCAGACAATGGGAGAGATTCTGAGTCAGTGAACAGCAAGAACCAAGACATGCATGTGTAATAGATCCCCAATGTGTGCCCTGGGACCAATTAAATGCAATTATCAGTGGCAAAAACACGGTCAAGAGACCTAATGTGTTCAGAGCGTACACTACAAACACTTTTCTTTTGATATATTCTCCTTTATTTTTCAAGAGTCTCCGAAACTAGGCACTCGTGTTCAATTAGGTCAAATCGTAGCTTTAGCAAACCCCTTCCTCTGCAACCCATAATGCAATGCCTTCGTCTCTAGGTAACAGGACTATGAGCAGGATAGAGGCAGAGTTTTCCTATAGTGAGGTTTGCCCCTTGCGTCGCTTAGCTCCCCCCTCCCGATCCCCCGTTGTGGTCCTCCAAGTCCACCTGGCTCCTCTGAGACCCCTTAACTGTAGCATTTAAATAAATAGACTCCTTTGACATTATGGAAGTTTCATGTCACACTTTATCCACATCTGACCATCTCTGCAATAGCCAGTAGCTGCCAAAGTGAATTTTCAGCATGAGTCAGGCTAGATTTCATGAATTCGCTGGTTAGGACTGCAGAGTGCCTTCATTATTCTTCCAGATGGGCTGAGGCTGGCATTGGAGGACACTCCACCCTGATATACATGAGGCACAAGTATAGGAAATGCCATTCTTTAGCTAATTCCTAATGAACACTGGAGGCCAAAGAAGCAGGGGGGTCCAATGCCTGGGCCTCCCACATCCACACGTAATGGGGAAATCAAAGTCAATAGCAGAAGAGGTGCAACCCAAATTCTGCAACATAAAGCCAGTGTAAAGCTCGACAGAGTGTGGTAGTTTGTCGCAGGGCCCTTGGTGGCCATCAGAAACGCTCCCGGGCCCTTTTTTGAAGCCTGCAAATTTCCAGTCTTATTATCAAAGGGTAGAAACATGGTGTCATAACCTAGTCCTTATCAGAGGAGGACCACAAGGACTCGAGACATCCAGAGGAAACCTTATTGTCAGTCCTCATACTTGGCTTCTTAGGCTGCCCAATCACAGACGGCATAGAAGTCCAAGTTCCACCATCCTCTACTCTTATTGCAGAGCCATTTTCTGGACATCATTCACACTGCAGAGCAGGAGCCAGCTAGCAGCACTGGAAAACATTACGGCTCCACTCTTATTCGCAGACAGAAGACAACACGAGTATGACGTTTCACTGCTTGCAGCGTTTAGTGTGGCCCTCCGCCCCGTAGCCGCTCACTCTCTTGTTGCGGTGATGCGGGAACGTCGGCATCAGTTGCGGCTCACAAGCTTAATAAAAAACAAAAAAAACAAGACGTTATTACAACAGGTAGTGTTACTTCTATAGAGCAGTGCCCTGGGGGGGTCTTACGTAGAAAAGTGTGCTAAAAGGTAAAATGTAATGTTGCCCCAATGAGCCAATCAGCTCCTATGACTTATTTTCAAAACTGGATAAAAAAAAAAAATTAGTTTAAGTTGAACGTGGCAGCAGAAGTATTCACTCCCTAAAAATACTGTATACTTTGACTTACGTAGAGGCTTTTCCTTGAAGTAGGAGCTGGCCAGACTGTCCTCGGCTGTGGCTCTGCCAAGGTACAAGAGAGATAACAGAGCTCAGTACTATAAGCTATAGCAATTAAAAGAAAAACCTTCCATTGTCTTATCCGCCTACCTCTTTTTTGGGTCATACATAAAGAGGAAGTTGAGCAGTCGCAGGCCGGCCTCTGACAGCCAGGGGAACTTGTGTTTCAGATTGTTGTACGGCTGTTTGCGTACTGTGTACTGGCCAACTAGAGGCAGCTTGGAAAAACCCTACAAGGAGAACAAAGCCGCGGACAACGAGACTGTAGGAGGTTAAACATCAACTTATTTACATTACACACTTTTCATGAGGACCAACGGACCCTTTAACATCTATTTTTTTTTTTCATACGGTTGGTACAGAGGTCCTCTATTAGAAATCCATCATTTCGTTCCTGTGAAGCCTCCAGGTTGTGACTTGGAGTTTACACAGTGCTGAGGTCTCTCTCCCTGCCTTCATGTTACATTGCTGTCCGAGTGACTGATCGACATGTGCAAATGCTGTCATGTAAGAGGAAGGACAGCATGTCATATGCTTTAACATACCCAGAAGTACGTATTTGCTGTTGAGGTGAACAGAGTTCTCCCTGCCTGAGATTTAATTTCATGCACATCATTGGTCTGACTTCTGGCCAAAGACCCGCCCTCTTGCCAGCTCCTTGTCCTATAAGAGCATTTTTGTAGTCATTGAAATTACTAGGGATGCACCGATACTGATACTAGTATCGGTATCGATGCCAAGTATTTGGGCGAGTACTCGTACTTGCCCAAATGCTCCAATGCCTAGCCCGATACTTCCGGTAGCAGGAAGCCGGCTCCATGCTCCCTCGTCACTTGCGACGAGGGAGCATGGAGCCGG